CTTTCCAGTGATGCTGGTGAGCCATCTGAAGAGTGATAAATGACAATGAGTGTAACATGGGGTGAGTTTAAGCAAACCCTTATGACACTGCTTTAAAGTATTTGTTTGAAACACACTTATAAAGGGGGGAAAAAAAAAAAAAAAGACATTTTCAAAGCATTCCTGCATAGGTGTGTAAAAAATTAACCTAAACAAACAGAAAAAGCTGAAGCACAAAAAGATATTCAGGCATTTTGACAGTGAGCTTAGGTGATGCCAGAAAACAAATCTAAACAGAAATGTTTCTATGGATTTTTTTTTTCCTGAGTCCTAATTGGAAACAGATTTTAGCTTTGGATTTAAACATTTCCCTGCATCATCTGCAGTGCTATCCCTACATTAGGCATTTTAGCCTCAGGGAGCACAAATATGAAGCTGTTGAGCAGAAGAGGGAAAAAGCCAGCATCCTCCTGCTCACAGTATTGCTACAGGTTTAGCCAGTGATCTTGGGAAAGTCATGAAACATGAATCTCCTGGGATTCTTACCCAGTAGACTTCAGGATAAATTACAAAATCAAGAGACCCTCCTTACATTGATCTCTGCCTTTCTGCCCTCATAAATCCAGTATTTCTTGCTCCACTGAGACAGAGACGTGAGAAGAATGAGTTGCTCGGGGTGGGTTAACACCACAACTGGATCAGCTTGGGCTCTTCTCTAGGTGGACCGTGTAGACTTTTAACTCCTCTCAGGTTGGGCATCTCATTCAGCCCAGATATCTCATTTCCTGACTGAGTGTGTTAGAGAAAGATCCACTGAGAAAAAGATGACCATGTTTCTGCTGGATCAAGAGTCTGATCAGATGTGAAGTGCCCCACAGCCATGAGTTTGTTGAACCCAACCTGAGGAAGGGAACAGGAGCACAGCTGGAGGCAGCATAGGGGACCAGGAGCTGTGACAGCCTGTAGCGTGATCATAACAAATAAAACCACAGCCCAAATGCACGTGCAACTTCTGGGAAACACAAATATTTGAAGAATTATGGCACTTGACTCTGAAGATCATCTAGAGGATGACAAGTGCTGCTAAAAGTCTTGCTCTGGAGTGGAGAGACCCAGGTCTTCCCAGGGCCGGACATGATACAAAGTCACTACAGTGGAGGCCAGCAGATGAGTGTTTGCTGTTTGCTTGTTTTCCTGGGAACCAGGAGAGGCCAACTGACAGCTGAGCAGCTCCTCTGCCTGGCAGCTGCCTGGCCAGCACGGATGGGCAGCAGGGGATTTTAGTGTGAAACATTTAGCTGAATGTAGATAGAACTCCACAGGCACCGTTTAAAGACAGGAGCTGTCTGACAGCAAAGCTTCTGAACTGTCAATGGGTTCACACTGTACAGGCAGAAGAGGACAACAGTGACCATCCATTTGTTTATGCAGTATTTATTTATCAATGGCATACTAAAATTATCCTTGGTTTATGTTTCACTTTTCAGAAAACAAACTCTCCCCTTTCCCCCTTATGTCAAAATATAGTCCAGCAGCCCTTTTTTCACCCTCCCTAATAGATCTGTCATCTAAGATCATCCAACAGTGCTTCAATATCAATGTAAGTTTTCTGCAGGCAAGTCTACCAGGATAGGACAGCAGAGAAACCAGCAACTGAAATCAAAAACCTAACACAAAAGCCTGCCTCAGCAGCCTCCAAATGGCTGTCTGGGAAGATTATTGATGAAACAATTAAATAAAGTTGTCTTCATCTCAGCTGAGACTTCCAGTAATAACATACAGAGCTGATAATGGGTGAGTATTCATTCACCTGAGTGAATATTAAATCCCATCGGTGAGGTGTGACAGTCCCTGAATGCAGTTATTATTTTACACATTTATTTATATATTAACATTTACTATATATATATTATTAATATATATAAAATTTATATATTAATGTGTGGATTTAGCCTGCATTCATATTGATGCTCTTTCTTTTTTAAATGCTAACCTTGTCCCCAGAGAAAGCTTAAAAATATTGATCACTCCTATAGCTTTATGTAAAGCCCTCCTTAAATTATTATTTTTTTAAACTAAAAATCCTGCATGATAACAATGATTGGTCAAGTAATGAGCTATCATATTCCAGATTTCCTTGGTGGTTTTTATTCCTTGGGTCTTGCTTCTCACCTGTTTCCTATTTTATCTAAAGGAAATTATACAAACAGCATCTAATTAACAAACCCTTTCACATTACCGTTGTGTTAATTGACTTTTTAAATAAATTGCAACTCCATCCTTTCCTTGGGGGTTTTGAGAGGCTCAGCCCTTGCAGGGGGATGCTCCCTTCCCTTGCAGGGATCCATATTTGGGAGTTCCCTGGTCCTGGAGCTATCTAAAAACTCTCAAGTGCAGATAAAATAAAGTAACTCATGGTGAAGGGATTTTAAACCAAGCCTTTCCACAGCACTGTCAGCTTTATATTAAAAGAGCGGCACTATGCTGCTTATAACTAAAAGATTGGTTTTAAATGGAGTCTGATCACCAGGTGTAGAAACAATGTGCTATGATTTCACTGAGAGGTATAAAATTGAGGATCTTTTCTCTCACTGTGTCACTTCTGAAATTGGAATTTATTTTTTTTTTTAATTGTCTTGAAGTTTACTTCAGTCAGCTGCAGATCCAGGCACGTGCTTGTCCTCCTCCAGCCTGCGGGTGGTCACCTATTCCAACATCAGGGCTGGGAAGGTGAGCCAAAACCAGCCATGCTTGACCATACATCCACTTCATGCCATCAACTTGCAAAGTCACACACAACGAGAAGTGGTAACTCCCTTTTACCTTTTGCTGTGCCCCACAGGACCAGAGTGCAGATCAATAAGTTCAGGAGGAAGGCTTAATTATAAAGCCACCAGAAAAAATACTGATGTTCTCATCACTATTTTCAGCAATAACAGAAGAAATGAAAAGCCAAGCTGAGGTGTGGCTCCTGTAAGATTCCTCTTTTTTATTTCACAGGCTTGTCCTGTTGAGTTTTGTGTTCTGTTGTCTCATTTACTGGGTGAAATAACACATTATCCCTTTTGCTGTTGCTGAGGCATCTCAGAGAGACAGTGGCAACCGGTCCTGGCACATATTTTAACTATAATCTTCATAGCTGTAACTTGTGTTTGATCAGAAACCACTGAGACAGATAAAAAAATAAATTAAAAAAAATCCCTTTGGTGTTATTTTATGTTTTTTGGGTTTTCTTGTGGTTTGTATTACAAGGAGTACTTTCAAGATCTTTGAGTAAGCACTCATAGTGATGACACACTTTTATGGTGAGTTGCTTGGTAGCAGTAACAACAAGATTACCACCAGCTTTTTGTTAAAGTGCTGGCTCACAAAAGCCCAATTAATCTATGTCCTGAAGATGGGAAGTATATGAAGCTGAAGCTAGGAGTACTGGAACTGGAAGGAATTCACCTTCTCTGGCCTCAGCTGCCAAGGTGGGCACCTACCTCCACCCTGCAGACGAACGCAGCTAATGACCCCTCCAGGGGCCTTCCCACAGCAGGTAGGTGCTCCTGGGAAAAGCTTAATTATCATTTGTTAATCATGTTATTACAGCATCCTCGGGGTGTGTGAGCAGCCTCCGGTCCAGCTTTAAATCCATCTCTGGTGGACAGCTAACCTTGGCAAGCTCATGGGCCCCTCGTCACCCCAAGCCCCTCAGCTGCCCACCACCCCCCTACCCCAACCACCGGGCTCCTGTCACCCACCACCCCTGATTTGTCACCCTCATCACACCTGGGTGACCCCCCTGGGCCTTTTGCCCATAGCCTAGTGATGCTGCCATGCACTGCACGGTGGTGGGCTGCTAGCTTGAGGCTGATGCCTGTCAAATGGCAGCCTGAGCTGCATGAATTGCCTCAAGCAAGTCTGGAAGTAGTTTTCTTGGAGCAATGGTATTGATGAGTGGGTTTTGGTGGTGCTGGCTCTCTTCCCCTGGCCCCCCCAAACTGGAAGGAACCTTAGAAATATCAAGATTTTAGTATCCTGTCATCTTTCTTTTGATTTTTTTCATCTTTCTTGCTTGACCAGGGTGTTGGGTTTTTTTCATTTATTTCATGTGTTGTATTCAAATATTTAATTTGTTTTGAAGTTGCTGGTTAGTATCAGCTGCTGATGAGAATATCTATGAAAAAGCCTTGGCTAAGCATACTTTGTGGGTAACATAATTGTGATTCTCTATCATTAGTTTTGATTATGAGAGCTCTCTAGAAGCTAAGTTCGATTCTCGCATTCATTAAGAGTGGGTGGTTTTCCCATCCTTTTCCAGATTTCCTTTTGACTCCCTTTTCTGTAACCACATATATGAGAAATAGCTTAAAAATGTGCAAGACATCAGGTATTACCTTCCACCACATTTTTTTCTGCTGTAAGAATTGTGTTATCCATCTGTCTCCTTGGCTCTAGGAGGCAGCTGCTGTGGCGAAGGCAGGCAGGCTGTTTTCATTTTCAGGCTTGAATTGACTTTTCTGCCCATTTCTGTAGGGTGCAGACTAATCCACATCTCAGTGTGATACATTAACATGAAAAAATTGGCTACAGGCCTTAACTGCGTGTTCTTGTCCTGCTTCAGGTGAGTTTTCTCTCTGCTTAGCTCGCAGCCACGTGTGTGCTTATCAAACATCCTTTCACTGTGAACAATTATTTTCTTTCCTGTCTTGTCAAGAGAATTGTGACCCACATAGTAATAAATATCTGCACCTTAAAATAGTAACTAATGGTATAGAATGGTGTGTCCATAGCTAACAGGTTCTCTGGGAGGTTATGTGGCCGGTTATGCGGCATTTATTTTCATTTTATTACTTTTATTTGTATATTTAAGGCAGACATTTGTCAGGTTTCATTTGCTGTTCTGTGTAACAAACTCAGTATACATATATACCAGGTTGTTCCAAGATTTAACTATAAGTATTACGTTACGTGAAACCTTGCAATTTGCTGATTTGTCGTGATCCTTGACCATAAACTCATATTAACTAAGGAATATGCATGCACAAGTGAACAGGAAGGTAATGCTCTAGGTGATTTGTCCCATGCTTTATTTTCTGTCAAGCTACCACAGAATGGAAAATAAAATGCAAAGTCCAATGTAGTTTTAAAATAATATTGTTTCAGATTTTACAGGCTCATGCTTGCCTCTTGATATGTTTTCCTCTTCTGTTTGAAGGAACCAGACGGTGTTATGGAATCTGCAGAAGAGTTAATTAATTTTAATGTTGGTGGCTGATATTTCTCAATTCCCAGAAGTCGCTCAGTTTCCTGAATCTCTGTTGTGGGAAGAAGCTTCTGTACAAGATCAGTCTGAAAATCTAAGATTATTCACTGACCAAGATGATTTTGTATTTAGGCACCCTCATTATTACATGCAGACTTCAAGGTTGTTTTTTTCAGCTGTGCTGAATTGAATCTATTGTATGAGCAAGCATTAATTTTGCAGCTGACACCTTTACTACAGGTGAAGTGGGATATTCTATGTGGCTTTACCAGAATACTTTTTTCATCCTTAGATAATACTGTCTGTAGAAGGATGTCAAAGACTTTGTGAATATAGCTTTATCAATGCTGGTGATAGGTATCCAAACAAATAACTCATCTGCTTCATTTGATGAGTACAGAAAATGTTACAAATTTCACGCTTGACCTTTCTGTAAGAGCTCATTCAACAGTCACTACTTGCTTTTTTTAACTAAAGCTAAAGCAAGCAGAGGCTTTCATCTGCCAGCTGTTGTGCTTGATGACAATTATACTGCCCGATCTTGTTTCACATCAACCTTCTAATCCGAAGAGGGTGGGGCTGCCCTTTCTCTTGTTCCCTGAGAAGGTTCAGTCTGTGTGTGAAAACAAATGCATCCTAACAGGACATCACTGAAATGGGAAATGACAATTCTTCCTCTCCCCCTATTCAATAGCTGCATAAACAGAAATGTTAAATGGCATCCACAACGAATATTTAATTTAGATACAAGTATTTTTTATTGTAATTACACTGTAGTTTTGTATTGTGCCCAGTGACAGCTGAGTACACACTTCCTGACTGGATGGAATGTGTGGTTTTGTGCATTAATATTTGCATTTCTTCTAAGTTTAATCTAAACTCTGAGTTTCTTTTGGTTTCTGATACTTTTTCTTTTTTTTTTTTTTTTGGTGGAATTGTCTCAAAAATGTTATGACACGTTATTTTTAACTCAAAATATTAGCATTTTGCGTTTAACGTGAACACTTTTGGATTTTCTTTTAGGACTGTGTTGAAAGATGTAACATCCCCAAATAGGTCAGGAGAGGAAGACCACCAAACTTCAGTAGTCTGTTATATTAACAAACTGAACGTGATCACGTTAACATGGACCTGTTGTGGTATGGCCGGGAACACATTCCACTGAGCTGGAGCTCTTGCATTTTCTGGCTTTGAAGTGATTGTCAGTGTAACCTTATTAATTCATGAAGCTATTTTATGCATGTTCTTTAGATGTCATAACTATGGCTCTAAATTTACTTTAATATCCTACAGCACTATGTAACCATTTGTTCCAAGTTTAAAATAACCTGTTCATCGTTCAGTAAAATATTAGGAAATACGGACTTAATCATTCCTATCACTGAGCCAAACATCAATTCCTCTTTCTGATGATCGTTCATACAGTTTATTGTAAAGACGTTATTAAAAAGAGCCCAAAAGGTCTTTCAGGCTTTGTGTCGGGCTCTTGGCTATATCTACTGTTGTATACTTTTACATATGCCAGTGTGATGTCTTGAATTCCAGAGCCAGAATACAAGGAAGTGCCATTAAAGTCAGACATTGAAAAATAGTTGGCTTTTTTTGAATATACAGATGACTGTCATTTTATTACAAGTTCTCATAAATATTCTCCACAAGTTCACTCCAGTTACCTTAAGGTACCGAAAACTTAGGAATCTAATATATATTTATTCTTGTCTGTACACAGTATTCCCTGGCATATTTTAGTAGATGTGAAGTGCAGCATAGCATGGCTTGGACTCTTTCCCATGGCTGCTTTTGATTTTTGTATTAATTATTTGAATTCAAGTTAGTAAATAGAAAAACTTTGTGCCTTGACAGATTTTAGATAATTTGAAGGAGGAGAAATATAATATACGTGTCCAGCCTGCAGATACACCAGTACCAGTAGCCGGCACATCGTTTCTGAATTACTGGCGAACACAAGGATGTGCCAGCAAGCCATCAGAGAGTCCTCCAACAGCCCTGCATTCACAGGTAAGTGTCCCAAACGGACAAGCCTTTTCCCCACCCTTAGGAATGCCCACAGTCTGTTGTCAGTTGTTGCAAGCCAGGAATGTTTTAAGAGTCTTGCAAAAAAATTTTTGTGATTTTTTTTTTTTTTTAATCTTTATTTAAAAATAGGAAACCCCATGCAAATGCTTATTGATTTGTGCTGGGCTGTAAGACTTTACCCCTTGGGGAACATTAAATACACTTTTACTGGCTTTGCTGTACTAGTCAGATCTCCAAAGTGTATATCTGAGTTCCACTTTTCTTATCCCTTGAATTTTCTCTGATTTTCTTTTCCTAGGGTTACATGAAAGAACTCCCCTAGGGCTAGTGGATACATCCTTACTAGATACAGAACATGAGGCCATTAATGGTTTTTGCCACTAGATTTGGTGGCATATCTTGTCCTAGTTAATGATGTCAATTTGCTGTGGCTGCTTGAGAATGCAGCCCTGATCAAGTGCAAGTGCAGTGAGTTGCGCTTCACACATAACTGCTCTTTTTTATTATTATGCTGACATGTCTAAATATTTTTTTATATTAAACTGTTTCTGTCTATATTTGATAATACTTCTTTAAAGATCAGAATCTTTTAATCTTTTGGTTTGGTTTTGCTGTCTGCCAGCTGTACCGCCCTGTTTATCAGTCAAGAAACAAAGCCTATAGCGGGTGGCTCCCAGAGGACATGTACCTACATTTACCCACTTATGGCCCCACTTGTTTGGGTTTTATCAATCCACTGTTTTTCTGAACTAAAATGCATTAATGACATCAGGTACCAGAACAGGTGTTAACAATCAGTAATTAAGTTAGAAAAAGCTTACACGGTGACTCTAAATATCTACCCAATCTTCTATCTTTTCACTAGTAAAAAATCATGTTTCATTCATTAAGTAATCTTCCAGCTTCAAAAGAAGACAAGTACTTTTCAAAAGTATGGCAGGATCACCTGCCTCCTCCATCACCATAGTTATTTCATCCTCTGTGAACTTAGCTAAGATGAGGTAGATAATGGAATCACTACAGTTTTGCTCTGCCGGTCCTCTGATGCTAGCATATGGGAAAACATGTTTAAATGCACAGTGGGATGGACTGTGCCTAGGGGAGAAAAAAGCAGTCAAACAAACAGGAAACCTCTTACATGAATGCCTCAGGATGCTGTGATAAAACTGACCTAATGCTGTATCGAGTCTCCTCTAGCACAAACCTTGGGTTTAGGATTGTGTTTTCAAAGACAAAGCGTTCCCGTCTGTCCATTTACCCACTGTGCATGTGTATGTGAATAATAATTCTGAAGGAATTAAGACCCTATTATTGCTAGATCTGTGTAGTGGACGGAAGATGTCAACACACACTTCCTATGTTTTATTTTTACTTTCGATTTAGTTTTCTTCTCTCAGAGAAGATGTTGTTGCCTGATAACTTCTCTGACATAGGTGCCTTGGGGGAAGAAGTTTAATTCCGGGAATTCCTGTGTTTATGGATGCTGTGAAGATCTATAGAGGTAATAGAATGTACATAGCTATATATTTTCTTCCTTATATGCATTGGTTTTAATGTTATTTTGTGAAATTGGGTGCTTGAAATGGTAATTATATTAAGATGATCAAGACTGAGCTGAGTAGTCTTGGCAACTTGTTTTCATAAATGTTGAGAATTGTGGACAATATGTCAGTGATTATTAAGCACTGACCTTCTGGGGCGCAGTCGCGACCTCCTCTTCTTGCAGGCAACTGCTCCACGGGGATGGGGGACGGTGGGGGGCAGCAGAAGGGGAGTCCCCACTGCAGTCACCGCTCCATGCCATGGCACTGGGGCTGCTGGCCAACCACCCAGAGTCGGCTCCGGGACAGCACCCAGCTGTGTGGGCAGCACGTGGGCAGGAGCTGCCTGCGCCTCTCCGCCAACGGCGTCCTCTTCCAGCACACCAGGCATCCACCCCGCCTTCACACCAAGCACCCACCCCGCCTTCACACCAGGCAACATCAGTATAACTTTTTAAAGAATGATAAGCTATATAATGTGTTTGAAGTTGAAAAGGAGCCCTGTTCTCAGCAGCTTGTCCTTTAGTATTTGCAGTATTCATTTTCAGCAAAACTTGCAGGTAACTATGGAAGCTAGCAGTCTTCTATTCTGTTGTTAGCTGGTAAGCCTAAAATGCCAAAGCAATATATGTAAATATTTTAATAGTCACATGCTCATAAGATTTACCATGCGATTAAAAAGGTTTTCAAGAGCATCTCAATACCTGTGGGTACGAGTTTTTCTGAAGTCACAGAAAAGTCACACTGCTGTGCCTAGTCCAAGAAGGGATGTAGACTTCTGAATACTGGGTTTGAGCTCGGTTCTTTGAGACCTACTTCTCCTGAGTCTCTTTAACCAAGTAATAAGCGATAGAAAAAGAGAGAATGGCCTCAAGTTGCGCCAGGGAAGGTTTAGACTAGATATTAGGAAGCATTTCTTTGCAGAAGGGGTTGTTGGGTACTGAAATGGGCTGCCCAGGGAGGTGGTGGTGTTCCCATCCCTGGAGGGGTTCAAGAGTAGGGTCGACATATTGCTGAAGGATCTGGTGTAGTTGGGAACTGTCAATGTTGGGTTGATGGTTGGACTGGATGATCTTCAAGGTCTTTTCCTACCTAGACAATTCTGTGATTCTGTGATATTAGCATTATTACTCAGACTTACCATATCAGCGTACAGGTTTAAAAAAAGCCCTGTCATATAGGAAAATGAATCAGTGAATCATTCACCTGCTTGTTGTGATTTGAATTAAGAAAAGTAAACTAAAAGAAATCACAATGAATCAGTTGATTCAAGCCTGGCATGCAATGAGATGCTCAGCCACAGACTGAAAAACTTCCTGCACCTTTTAACCAAGTTTAAATCTCGAACAAACACACAATATCCAGTCTGTAAAGGATGATAGCATCTTGTCTGCACTTGCTGTTGGCACTAGTGAATGATCCAGTGTAGGACAAATACCATATTAAAAGCTTTATTCAAAACTATTGCAGATTATTAATTGATGACTCCAGTGCAATAGCTTTATTTGCTGATGTTGGATTGTTCAGGGTTCTCAATACAAAACTGATGTGGTAAGTTACAAGTAAAGCTCAGCAGGTGCAAAAATACATTTTTAGGGGAATTCGTATTTCCTGACTTGTACTCAGGAATTATTAAAAATAAGCAGGATTTTTTTTTTTTTTTTTATAAAAGGGATAAAAAGTTTAGTGATTTCCTCTTCTTTGGATAGGAATTTGGATATCATCCTTTTGGACAGGAATTGGCTGGGAACTGGCCGACTTCCTCTCACTGAAAATATTTCTGAAATCGAAGAGCTCTGTGCTTATTTCAACCAAAGGGACACCGCATATAAGCCAATGAAAGATGCTTTACAAAGCTGTCTGAAACAACAGATGCCAGCAGAGCGCAGAGATTTCTCAAGAACTCTTTCATTTTAAAATAGAATGAGCAGTGTTGCCTGAACACAGTTAATCAGTCAATGATCTACATTGGCTTTTGAGGGATTGTTACAGTACAAAAATAACCTGAAGGTCTTGCTGACTGACAGTGCTGGTTTTCCTAAGCTCTACTGCTACCCCGTTGCTTTATTACCTGGCTGTTGCTGATCAGTGAACACTGGAGCAGTACATTAGGTTCTAGGTGAAATATAGAGCAAGTCTTCACTGGATTTAGGTAGTACTAGTCATGGTTTTGAATAATGTTACTTGCTAAACTTGCCAGTCTTATTCATCACTGAACTAATTTGCTGAATCCAGTTCCTTTGAGCTTAGACCATCCAAGTTACTTTAAGCAGAATATGTTCTACCTTAAAAATGAGAAGTTTCTTTTGCTCCCATTTTTCTGGTGTGGGACTGTTCTTACAACCCTTGCTGTTGAACTAAGGAATCTATTTCTAAATTCCAGCCTAAGTGCATTCACAGCCACATTTAGCTCTTGCTAAAACACCTCTAACTTAAATGCTTCCACTTTGGCTTATCCCCTCTTCTCCTCTAATGCATTTATAGAAAAATCATGACGTCTTCTATCAGGCCTTATTGTGGCTTCTTAACAAGAGTTAATATGGTTCCCCATATAACCTAGGGATTTTTCTTTTCACCTATCCCAGTTTCCCCATTTTCATAGAATTTAGACCAGAAGAGATCTTTGGAGGTCTTTTAGTCCAACTCTCTGCTCAGAGCAGGGTCAAGTAGGTTGGGTTGCTCAGGACCTTGCCAGAAAAAGCTTTGAGTATCTCCAAGAATGGAGATCCTGCAGCCTTTCTGGACTCCTGTTCCAATAGTTGACTATTTTTGTGCTAAATAAAGTCATACATGGAATTTCCTGTGTTCCAAATTTTTTCTGTTGCCTCTTGCCCTAGCACATTGTACCTCCAAACCCAATATGGCTCTGCCTTTCCTAAACCTTCCTTGCTGTAGACAATAAGATCTTCCTCTAACCTGTTCTTCCTAAGCCGGTCCTTTCCACCTTTTCTGTTATGCCATGTGCTCCAGAAAAGAGAAATTTAATCACCCTTTGTACAAGGTAATCCAGTTGAAACCTCCCCAGTATTTTAGACTATGCTGCTACTAATTCTACTGGAGTCAGCTTCCCCGGTACATCCCACAGTCTCATTTGCAGTTCCCCATTCTATTTGTGACAAACAATCACTTTGTGATCAATGAGTGCAGATATCCCTTTTCCCCATCCAAGCACAAGCTTCTTGGTTCAGACTTCAGCTCGTAGGATCCTAAATGTAATCCCTGTAGCTAATTTGCATGTCTGTCTTCTTATTTTGTAGTAGTGACCTTACTTCTAGTTTAGTCCACCCTCAGGGTCCTCTGAGGCTTTCTGTAGGGAATGATTACTCTTCCCATTTTGGGCCATCAGCATATTTCACGAGAACAAGGTGAAGTGGCTGATGTTCAAAGTATTCTTCCCTGTCCCACGTGAAAAGTGTGTATGCAGAAAGGAGTGAATCTTATCAATTCTTAGGTAGAATTATAACCCTTGAGAAAGAGGATTTGATCTTAAATTGCAGCAGCAGTTAATGAAGTTTGTCATTGTGTAGGCTGGTGGATAACACATGCTAGAAAAAGTAACTGTGACTCGAATGTCTTAGCAGTTAATGATGTCTCAGTGGTACGTATGTTACGGAAGATAGATCATCCCATTATAGTAGCTACATCAGACGGGCATATGCTAGTTGGCTCATTGTTTAGAGATAGTAGAATCTATTTATATCACTATCCATAGCTCTATAAATAATTCCTGTGAGTGTGATTTGTCTGTATTCTGTAAAGGCCTGCAAAGGCTACTGTAAGAAACACAATTCTGCAGTCTGGACCCCCTTCCAAAGTTGGCTGTGTTTGGGGGTTCTTTTAAACAATTCTTTTGACTGCAAATGTATTTTGATTTTCCTAAAACAGTGTCCCAGAACTTACGGTCAGTAAATAGTAATGCAATCTATGCTATTAAAGATTTCAACAGAAACTTTCCTAGATCTTTGTTGCCGCACTGAGGTAAGACGTGGGCTGAACCCAGACTAAAATACATCCAAAGCTGTTGCACTATATCTGCTCTTTGCACATAAGAGCTCTCTGAGGCTTGCCCCTGCCCTGATACTGTCACCTTCAAAGGAAATAATGAAGTGGGACTCCTGGCAAAGATGGGAAATGATGGCAAAAAAGATTGCCCTGGAATTCCACCAACTTTATACTTGATGACAAGTTGAATCTTCACTTTCAAAGACCTTTCAGATTTTCCCCTTATTTCCATTACTTTGGAAATAAATTATTTATATCTCTGGCAACGTAACAGTATACTTAGATTCACCTGGTTTACGTGACATAAATGAGCAAACATGACTATGCTACTGCATACGGCCCTCAGGGTATTATTTTAAACCTATTGAGGCGAGGTGGTTCGGCTGCAGCGTGGATGGACCAGGTTGCCCATACTCTGACCTTACATCCTGACTTGCCTTTTGCTCACAGTTGCATATAACCCCTAAACAAAACAGGAAAGTTCCAGCTCTGTGTGCACAGAGTGCACTCTATTAATTCACTATCTCGAAAAATTATTTTTTGCAATATTTTGATGTAAAATCCAATATAATCTTATTATAGTATTTGTAACAAAAAAAAAAATTACTACTTGCAGTTATTTTAGTTGTCATTTTTCTATTTGTTACTCCATCCCTAGATGCAGACTGGACAGCGGAAGTATTCGTATGCTCACTCTATCAGACTGTATAAATTTATGTAGGAAGTAACTGGTATGAAACTTGTTTACAGACTTTATTGAAGGTATGGGTGATTAATTGTCTTTGCATTGCCTTCACATGAACCTTCCGACTCAGAATTTATAATTCTACAGACTAGAATCTATATTTCTAGTAGTAAGAATTATCAGAATGGTTTTGACAGGAAATCTTGGAATTATCAGAGCTTCACATGTAGACTGAGCATTTTATACTAGGAAGTATGTTCAAGTGCCTTGGGGAAATAAATCTTGGACCTCCCGAGAAAGTACTTTCTGGGATAATAATGTAAGTATTCTGACTAATTATATAAATAGACTTGATGAAACTGGTTTAATTCTTTTACTGAGAAAGGAAAAATCCTGTTTGGATTTATTTCTCCCTATAACTAATGCCAGAAATCTGGTCTTAATGTATTTTTATTTCTGTAGTGCCCAGAACTGCTGTCAAACGACAAGAAAGTTTGTTGGATCACATGTTGTCAAACTCTTCTGATCTATGGAGATGGGCAAATGTTTTGGCACATTTTCAACTTCCTAAGACTTGGGAAATTCATTTTGCCAAATGAATTTATGTAAGCAGAGTGAATGACTGTGCTTCTTTCATATGATTAGGTGGTTGTAGAGTAAGTAAGCATGAGAGTTTGTCTTCTGATTTTTTGTAGAGATATTGTGCAAAAGAATTAAGACTTTTATTTTTTCGTCCTGAAGTAAACTGTTCTATCTAAACATAAATTATCAAGCTTTAGAGATTGTGAGATGTTTTTGTTTCAGTGTGTATGTCTTTATTTTAATGATCAATACACCAGGAACTTGTACTGCAGGGTATATCACAGGCTGGTGTATTGTGTGCACAACTCTAGCAAAAAGGAAAATGGTTTTACTGATGGCATCGTTGAATCCATCTTCAGATTTTTGTCTTTTTATATGCAGGGACGGCAAAGTCTGCCTAGCCCAGCTGAAAAATACTCCATCTGCCCCCTCTACTGGTACCTCTGCTCTAGTGCTGAAAAATACATATTCCACAGCTGCAGCGGTACGGGAATGGATAAACACGGGGTGCCTACAAAGAAGAGGGCACTGTCCCTCCGTATACATATCAGTCCACTAGGTTTCTAAATCGTATCAAACATCAGAAATTGAGATGGCTTAAACCACCAGTTTCCTAAACATATTCCTTCAAGGTGTTTCACCATCCCTTTGGTGCTATGGCTTCTTGTAGCAGTGTCCCTGCTGCTTCTGCCACCACGACACGTTACAGCTCTTCCGCATTCAGCACTGCGGGTCTGCCTGGCCGCAGCAGAACTTTTGGTCTTTTCAGTCCTTGAAGCCCTTGTTTGCTGGATTGTTTCTAGTAGGCAAAATATATTCACCACACATCACCAGCTGATGTAATCATTTTTAGCACATTTAGCTGTATCCAAGAGGAGTACGTATTTTCATTCTTTTCCCCAAAGTCAATGGAAATGTTACACCAGTGGCTTCTTTGATATAATGGCCACTGGTTGCTTTCATGTCTGTCATCAAAGGCAAGGGGGCCAGATGTCAGACACTGCAGTTACATACACCAGCAAACTAAAGACGTCTGGGAATGTTTCTGGTCAATGAGGCCAGCTGCCTTTCTTCTACTGATCTTCTTTAAGCTCCCAGAGATGGTGGCTTCACTCTTCCTGTCCGCTGCAAAGAGTCCCAAGGAACATCTGAATGGCCAAAACATGTCTGGGAATTGTTGGAGGGAGTGTAAATTGGGTAGCACCAAGCACAACGCTAATAGCTTACTCGCAGAGATGATCGTGTTCTAGGGCTAAGAATATTTCTGGGAATGGTGGATGTCCTGATAGCCCATCAAACCCATGAACCTTCTTTATGGGATTCCCTAAAGAAAATGCTGTGGTGAATTTTCCACATGAGAAAAGGGTCATGTGTGTCACAGTGCAGAGTAGGATTCCTGCTTCTCAATATCAGCTTTTATCATCAATACCCATGGTTAATTAAAGAAAAGAAAAAAAAAAAAAAAAAAGGAATTTCACTTAACTAGAAGAGCAAATGCTGGAGAAAGTATTGAAATTAGCAAGTTTCACAAAGATTCAGAAGGGTGCTGCTGAACACCTCTGCTTCAGGAACTTGTTTATTTTGGTTATGCCTTTTAAAAATTGTGTTACCTAATTTTGGATTCCTGACATAAAATTCAGATTCTGTGAAAGTCAATGGTAGTTGATAGGAAGATTTCTATTTATGTCAGTAAAACCAGATATTTCTTTTCTCATTGTTTGAATGACAGATATGAAACAGCAACAAAACCCGCTAAAACTGGTTTGAAAAAAATGCCTTGAGTATTTTTCGTTATTTAAAATGATAGGCTATTTATCTGATAAAAGAAAAATCACTTGTGTGAATGCTTCTTTCATTCTGGATAGTGACTGCTTCAGCTTCCAAAATTAATATATATTTATAAAAGATAATCTGGTAAGATTGATTTTTAGTGATTTTGCTGTTCAGTTTATTTGCAGTTTACAAAGAATGGCCTCCCTTTGGTCAAGAAGCAGAGGAGTAACAGATCCCTTCTCTGTTAGAGGCTCTTTATCACTCTGATGCATACAGGTAGATAAAAATTCTTTTCTTTCTTTTTTCTATCATATAACATCCTTTCATCTGACCTAGCAGTGTCTGTCTCTGAAAGGACTGTCTGTCCTCTGAAAGGAGCACAACTGGCTCCTTTCTTTCTGAAATGCAGCCACTGGAGGATGACAAATTCCACTATCTTTTGGGCCACATTTTTTACCATCAGTTACTTGGGTTCTGGAACAGTAACAGAATAATCCTTGGCCAGCTCTCCACTAACCAAGGAAAAGGCAACTGACCTCCTAAGTCCAGATACTGAGAATATTGCAATGCACGCTGGAAATCACTGTACAGAGACACCAGACTGAGCAGAGACACTCTGATTTATCACCTTTGGCTTGGCCCTGGCTTTGCTGAGCCCCAGCTGTTTCTGCAGACCCGCTGGAGGATTCACCAGCACTGCAGAGTAGAATGGCACGTGTTCGATGCAGCATCACAGAAGAGGATTGAGATGAGCTGGAATTTAAACCTAGACAAATCAATGTTGAAAATAAACCATAACTTTTTTGTATATTAATTCATCATTGAACATTTTCTCAGAGACTTATTTCTTCACCGCTGATGGCTTTAAAAATGAGATGGGCTGGTTTTCTAAAAGATACTTAGCTATTAAAACAGAAATTGGCATTTGGTGTTACTGAAGACCTCGTAATTGCAGTGGTCTTCTCTGGCCTTATAAAATCTGTGAATCTGCAAACGCTAGTGTTTTGTTCTCTGCTGTGCTCATTAGAGGGACAGACAAAACATTAAAACATAGGCCTTTTGGAAGGCCCACAGAACTGATACATTTCAACTCCTGAATGCAGAGTACTTTAGAAGATGACCTCGCGTGGCCTTCTCTTCAGTATTTTCCTAACAGAGCTCTGGAAGTCTGTGTATTCTTACTTAGGCTACTCACAGGCGGTTTAGGCATTTTAAAGTGAAACTATATCCATTAAAATCTTCCCAAAAGACCCGGAGTCACTACAGCAGGTTCTGAAATACCAGTGTCATGGTCTGTTTGCATCAGGATTTTCAACCTCGTTGTACCGCCGTGGGCAGTAGTAGGACACACTAGTGGCAGCTACCAGTATGCCACCAGTGGTGACAGCAGGTCCTAGATTTTATTGCAGATCTCTATGAAAAAGAAATCCTAAATGTTATTCCTCCACTTCCTCATCCCAGTGCAGGAACCTCATGTTCCTATACCTGTAGAGCAAGGGGAGGATGTCAGAGGAACTCTGAAGCACTCTAGACATGAATGGCAAAATTCTATATTCCCTGGGAGGTTTTAGCTAAGGATCAGTTCTACTCTAACATAGACTCTTCCACTGCTCATCGGTTCTTTCCCATCAGGGAAGGTGTCAGCATCTCTATCATACACACCAAAGGCCTCTAACAAAGTAAACCAAGGGGGTTTGATTCCTGGAGTTCTTTACCAGGTCATCTGTCAGCTCCACAGGCAAGATTAGCACATCTCTGTCTATAGGAGACAGAGAGCAGCAGCTACTCTGTGCTTCCAGAGTTATTTCACCATTTCAGAAACTGCTGTGTAGCTCAGGCAGTCACTGTCAGGACTCGAGTTCCTTAAGTGGACTCAAAATTCAATTCTGAAATGATGAATGTAGGTGGTTAACCTGAATCTGCGTAACTTGCTCCCCAAAGTATCTAGAACCTCTTCATAAAAAAGAGAGAAAAGACTCAAAATCTGATGTCAGGTAGACATGGCTTACGTAAATCTATTGGTCAAGGTTTTGTGGATACTGGAAGAGATACAAGCAATAATTTTTATCTTCTGTGTACATGCAGTCTCACATTTCAGAAATTCTCATCACAGGCAGGTGATGGAAACTCCTGGTCCTTTGCTACCCTCATGTTGTGTACTAGTGATAACTGAACTCCTTTCATTCACAGTAGTTTAAAAGTAACTCGTAATAATAATGCGTGTGATATCCACAGATCTGATGGTGACTGGAAGTCCTGACAGCTGCTCTTTTTACAGGTTGACTGGATGTCACCCCAGAAAAGGTTCTGTAATCATTGTAATTATTCGTTTTCTAGATTATGGATCCAAGACAACTAATGTACAAAGAATTTTCTTTCCCATGTAGAAGATTAAGTATCATGTCTTGGAATGAAGAGCATGAGTTCAGCAAAGACCCAGAAGAAGTAAGATTTGGTTGTCAAAATACATTGGCGTAAAGCATTTCTAAAAGCAATTTGAACTAGAAAAGTGCCAAATTTAAATTTGCCAGTACCATCTTGCTTTTTTTTTTTTTTTCTCTCCAAAATCATCTACAAAATTAGTCTTGGAAATCTCTCTCTCTAAAAAAAGAACATCTTCATTTTAAAAAGCTGGGCTTTAAGCATCAAGAGGGAACAGAGAACGGCAATAGACATTCTGTTTGCATGTCACAAAACACGAGACAGCTCCTTCTATAAAGAGATAACTTAGGTTGAGAACCACACTTAATTCCCCAGTAGATTTCAAGGCAGGGTCCCTAGCTGAGTGCTGGGCTTTTATTTCTGTTTTTATCCAATGACTGTATACTGTAAAGTCATGCAGTCCAAACCATAAGGTCAAGATCCTCTGGTCTGTGTTAGCTTGGTTTAAACCTCACAAGGCCACAGTCTCTTGGAGCCTCCTTTTGGTCTGGCGATTCACATTCCTGGTGACTTAAGCAGTCCCTGTCACCAAAGAGTGGGAAGAGTTTTCATGCAGACTGCAGTGTGGTTTGGAAACTGGGACACCTTGCCTGGTCACAGGAGATAAAGGTTCTGATCCTGCTGGGCAAGGAGGACCTAGAAGGCAATTCTCCTGGTTCCTAGGTGGTAAAGATGGCAGCAGCAAGCTTGAGCAGTGCACTCAGGCAATTTAACATCCCGCAGAATCTTTATCTAGTCTTTGGAGTCAGTGGAAAGGAGAAAAGTTCTGCCTGATCAAGTCTTTGAATAGTTTTAGTCCTTAGTTGGACACTAGCAGCTGAAAGTTGCCTTCAGTCTTCTAAAGAAAGGAGAAATTAAGGTGCTATCTCTGTAACATTCACATCTGCTAACAAACTGGTCCACCCTGTAGCTTAGCACTGGTGTTCGTGTGGTGGAGTGGTTGCACAGCTTGCTTTAACTTGTCAGACCATCTTTCTTGTACAGAATATGCTGCTGTCAGGTCAGATAACCACAATTATCTTAGCTGTAGCATTAGCAGGGATGTTGAGGTGCTGCTTGTGTGCCTTGGCCACGCCAGTGTCCATCTTCAGGCTCAGCAAAACTCAGTGCTAGGAACTGAGGTGATTGAGGACACCAGCACTGAATTCTCGTGGCTGGGTTTGGGGAGCCTTAAGGCCCCACAGCCAGCACAGAAGTGAGAATGCATTTTCCAGGATTAAGAACTCAGTCCTTAAATACTTGTATTATAATGGGTAAAATACCTCAGTTATTAGGAAAGGCAGAACTTACACTTCTTTCCTTCTCAATTAGAAATAACATTTCACTGTATTTTTAGGTGTACTCATGTGCAGCTGTGGATTCCACAAAATGCTGTATTAATATGTGGAGTAATACAAAAGACCTGAAGGGAAAGCAAGAGACCAGTGGGGTGAAGTATTCCGAAATGATTTTGCAGGTTAAAGGGATAAAGCGGAGGAACCCACTTGGAGGATACGACACATGCTCGGACAGGCTGGTAAACTCCAGCTTTTACAAACATTTGGGAAGCCCTTCGAGGAAGAGAGGAATGAGAAGCAGTTTAACAGAGAAAGTAGAAAGTAAAGACTCTGCAAGTCACATCCAGAAATTAATTTCCCTGGTAAAGGGATGGGACACGGTGAGCTCCAAAAGGTGTGATTTTCAGCACGTGAGAACATCTGACAGCAGTATCCCAGGGAGTGTATCTCAGTGCAACACTCCTGAAAAGGACAGAGGTGTCAGAGCTCCTGTTGCCTCTGCTCCTGGAAAAATAAGCTTTACAATTCAAGGGAATGATCACATTATCCAATGTGAAGTCGGGGCTGAAGGAGAGCGGCTGGAGAAGTACGTGTTCACACAGAGTTTGCCAGTTACTCCAAGGGCTGGAACGCATCAATGCAGCACCATAAAAACTACTCCTGCAGTAGGAAACGATGCAGAGAATGTAAACAGGGAGCAACCAGAAGGTAGATGAATGCTTGGTGATTATTGTTTTCAAAAATGATGTGAGTAATTAAATAAATGACTTGCATAAATAAGTTACTTTGATTGTGCTGATGAATTTCAGTGAACAGTCTCAGCCCTTTTCTTGTTCTTCTGCTCATAGGAAGTTTTTCCAGTGAAGGAAGAAAAAAAGCCTTGCAAATGAAACTCATCCTTCTAACGACAGTGAGTTGATTGCCAGCTGCTAAGTAGGGGATGGATTTTACCGCTTGTTTATGCAGAGTTTAATACTAAAAGTGTGCTTGCCAGAAAGGTGGAGCAGCTTTTAGCTTCACTGGCATGAATGAGTTGTTCTTTCACTGCCCCTGTTACTCTGCCTTTAGAGGTGGGCTTGTTGGATGTGCTTAAGTGATCCAGTTAGTTACAGAAATCTCTAAATTTAGAAACCTAGAAGATTCCACAGGCACATGTAGGAGTTAAAAAAAAAATGACTCAGACAAGATACTAAGTGCAAACTCAAGATAATGCAGTGAAAAATCTCAGTCCTCGACTAGTTCTGACACCCTGAGAAGGATGTGATTTACCCTGTACCACTGCCACCATGGGTAGCGTGGCAGGTTTGCACAGAATTATTGGCAAAGCAAAATGTATTAATAACAATTGTGGATGGTTTTGTTACTATAGCAGTGCAAGCCAGGTTATTATTTTCCTAGGAAAAAACCCTCTTTCACATTCCATGAAAGAATCCTGGACTGAATTATGCTTGGGTTCCTCTAAGCAGTACGTAATGGTTACTCTGTCTGAATTTTCCATGTGAAAGAGGGAAGTAGAGAAGACATGTAATGTTGTACCTAAGATTGTAAATTATTTGGTGTAAGATTGTCATTTGCTTTCTAGTGGTGTTTCACCTTTCCTGGCAAAACATCACAACAGGATGAAGACAGAATGAGGCATAACACATAGGGATCTGGTGTACTTGGGAACAGTTAATGTTGGATTGATGGTTGGACTGGGTGTTCTTCAAGGTCTTTTCCAACCTAGACAATTCTGTGATTCTGTGATAACTTTGAAGAGAAGATGGCAATACTAGGTTGGTACTTAAAAATGGACAAATGTGTTTGTCCCATTACTACTGATAGAGGCCTAGGTGTAAAATTCAAACTGTATACCTTCACAGAAATAAGGGATAGCAAACAAACCGTCCTTGTTCTGGCATACCACAGAAACGTAGGACTGATTCTTGAAGTTAAACGTCCTCTGGTTGTATAAACAGTGAAGAGTGTTGTTTGCAGTGGCCAGCTGGTTGCTCCAACCCATCAAACACTGCCCAAAGGTAAGGAACTGTAAATAGCTCTAGGATCTTGCTGCGGAGCTTTTGTCATGAAAACCATTCTCTGTCATGGTTTCTTAGTTCTGACTAGCTGAGTAACTAAGGTTATCGCAGCTGAACTGCTGCTTACATCTAATTCTTCAAAACAGCTGGACAGCAGCTGCATAACCTAGCAGGGGCCTTGAATATTTACTGGTGGAGCTCTTCAATGCGTCAGGAAAGATGCAATGATCTGAAATCCATATTCAGTTTTTATTCAGGCAAACTCTTACGCTGAGCTGAGATTTGAACACCGGCTGTTAGGACTCAGGTGCAGAAAAACCTTGGACAGGAAAGGCATTAAGAAGGCCAAAGGCTGGATAACTGAAATGGTGAATGTTGAAACCTGAAACCCCCTTTTTTTTTTTTTTTTCCCTAATCCATTTGTGTTCTTTCAACTATTCCTTGGAGATACAGTTTTTCTTACCTTTGCTGTCCCGCATGAGGACATATTCTATGCCAGGAAGAGCCACTTTTTGCTGACGGATGTCAGTAAGCTAAAAGGATCCCAAAGAAATCCCAGCCAAAGTTGGGATCCTTGTGACCAGGCTGTGGGTAGGTACAAGTTTCTAACAGCCTGGATGAGCCGTAGCTGCTTGGCTTCCCCAGGCCATCATCAGTGTGTCAGAAGTTAGAAACTGGGCTCATCCCCTTCGGCACCAACTGCCCTGCTGCTCCGGTGGCCACGGCTGTCACTACGCTGGTGTCACATGGATCAGATCTGTCGTGATCTCAACCTCTCAGCACAGACTGACTAATGACACGTATAGCCTCAACAAAAGTTTTAAATTCTGCTGCTCATTTAGAAAATGCCCACAAAAAGTGGGCCAAAGATTACTAGGGTTGCTAAGAAACAGAAAGAGTCAGGGGTGCTGCTGTGATTTGAGGGTGGGCACAGGTTTGTGCTTTTTCAGTTCACCCTGGCCTGGAAAAGCAGCCACTGCCTCGACTGTTGGTCTGCAGAGGGTTTGCTAGATCGGTTTCATACCTTGCCTTAGAAACATAAGTTCACAGACCATTAATAAAAATTTAAGCCAGCTGCTTTTTTGAAATGTTTTTATGTTCTTGTGGCAGGGAGGGGGCACACCTCACCTGCCACTTAAGGAAAAGCCTTTTGCTCAACTTTCTTTTAACTTCAAACAGCAACCTTGTTTAGTCAGAGATTTTTGTAGTAGCTGCCACCTTCTGTCTCATTTCTTACACTTTTATTAGTGAGCTGTGGGGTTTATTTAAGAGAAGATGATGCTTTCACACGACCAGGCTGCAGCTCTGTCCCCAGGCACCCGCACAGCTGCTGTCCCCTCCTCTGCCCACCTCGTCAGGCCAGTTTCCCACCCATGGCCCAGGGTTCATCCCACTCCTGACTGGTGTTGCAGATGAACCCTCGCCCTCAGATGATGATTCCCTGTGAGAAAATTAGAAAATGCTGGGCCAGCAGTGGAGCAAAAGCACGTGCCTTCTCTGGGGCCTCATTTAGCCAAAATGAACAAAAGAATCCCTTCATTCTGATAACAGATTTGTTAATATTATTTGCCTGATAAAATCAGAAAAATAATCAGGGGTCTTCATGTTTTATTTTAAGCCCTTTGCTATTCCTGTTTTCACACCCCTGCAGCCCACCGTGTGAAGGAGGGTGAGACACCACCACTTTCAGCCCAACAGCCTGGTTTAGGTGCCCAAGGACAACCCAATCCCTCCTCTGCAGCCCTGGACCCCTTACTGAAATCAAGATACAACGCCAGCAAGATTCATATAAAGAAAATAACCTTTATTAGACAAATCAATCAAACCCTGAAAAAACAGTATCAGGTAAACATTACTAAAGGTTTTTCCAGTAATGTAGAAACCTTTGAAACATGTTCCTCTTGTTGCATTAGTAAATTCTCTCCCTCGTGACATGAGCTAGTGCTGTCTCAACAGCCCCAAAATCTTGCATTAACTCAGCAATTATTTAAAAATAGTAACTTCTAAAACCTTCCCTGTGCAATTGTTCCCCACACAATTTTGTACATAGGTGTCAAACTGCATTCTCTTTGCTGTCTAAAAAAAAAAAAAAAAAGAGCATCCAGCTTATTAAACAAGTGTTTTATGTACAGTACAGGAATTTCCAACTTGGAGGAGCATGGTCTGTGTGTTGAGGGCAGCTCAGGGGGGTGAGGTTTGACATTCGAGACTGGAGCACCGCACTGGCAATGGCTGGGCAGCTCCCCCCCTCACAGCAAGTTACTGCTCCATCATCTTCCTCAGGCTAAACGTGACGCCACCGCGCTCACATCTGGGGGAGCTGCATTTACAGCACTTCATCAACCAGGAGTAAACAGGAGCTTGGCAGCAAGTAACTACAGTTTCCAGAAATGCTAATTTTAATTTCCTCTGAGAAGAGGGAGGGTGTCACAGGCCCAGCGAGCTTTGATGTTACTCACGAGGACGCAGCCTTGGAGCGCAGTGCACGTTTGTCCCCCAGTTAAGCCGTGCTACTTCAGACAACGTGCATTTAAGATTCAGCATTATAATCAACCCATTACACTCAAAACCTGTCAGTCTCGGATGCCACCACCAGCCAAAGCTCCTCAGATGAGCCACAGGGGTGGGACTGAAGTACCTGGAGGGGTGCTGAGGCAGAGGCAAAGCAAAGAGCCAGGCCCTGTCACCCCAGAACACAGGGCGCCACCATGACAGGGCACACTGGGGTCTAACTTTGCAACTGGAACTGGGCCCAACGGGGACAGAGACCTGCCATGGGGACAGCGGCTGCGCGGGGAGCAGAGCCAGGGGCTCGTGCCTTCTGTCCTGCCAGCTCCTGCCTCCTCCTCGCTCCCAGCACAGTCTGTCTCCACCCAGGGAGAATACCCTCGGGATTTACACCATTTAGCTGGCAGGGGATTAGTGCAGAAATTGCACAGGGAGAGCACAAGAGCTGACAGATGGTTAAGACAGATAAGCTCAGCACTGAGGCCCTGGAAGAATCATCTGAAGAAATGATTCACTGTAACAATGGAATTGCTTTTATTAAAACAGAAGTGTTAAGCCAAGAAAATAAATTATTGCTATGATAGACATATTTAGGACATAAGGAAGGACGTTAAATCTTGAGCTCCAGGTCAATATAACCCTGAAACAGAAAGTTACACTACTTTTCTTAAATACCTCAGTTTCTCTTCATGCCCTTCCAAAAACTTTATAAAATGTGCAGCTTACAGAACAAATAGTAACAGTCACTCGTAACAAAAATCTGTACAGCTCATAGCTTTGAAAATAATACTTTTTTTTTTTTTTCCTCCAAACTGCTATGTTACTTATTACTCATAAATATAGGGCTAACAAGTTTTGAATGCCCAAGGTCCCATCCAACACCAAAGCTATTATATGTCATTGACAGATACTTTCTTGGGACTCCCCCCCCAGCCAGAGGTCAGGTTTGGAGCTGTGTGAAAGCGCCTGATTATGTGTAAAAAAAAATAATGTATCTTCACGGGTGAAGACTGTCTCCTTCTGCTGGTCAGAGGCCTGGGGTCTTCGGTGAGTTTGAAATGGCAATCAAACCTGGAACACAGCACCGTGCAATGGGTTAGATTGGCTGCACTCCTGCCATGTGGCAGGATCCCACAGGTCCCTCTGTCCAGGCCAGCAGTGATTTTGCAAAACGTTTGAAAACCACCGTTTGTCAGAGGTGCATTTTGGTGGGGAAAGAATGTTTTACTGAAGAGCTTTAACAGGGGAAGCATGGCTCCTCCTCGATGCAGTGGGCTGCCTCTACACCCCAGGCCTCACCCAAAGGCTCTGTGAAGCCATTTCCAAAGTCTTGTCTGTGACACACACCCCCCCCCCCCCAAAAGGGGCTCTGGACCTTCAGTTTTAACCTTGGCTCATTCTGTCTGCCTGGTTACAAACTCCTGTACCTGCAGATCTCAAGTCGTGTGCTCGTAACACCCCCCCAGCACCAAACCTCCTCACCACCCTGTGCCTTGGCCATTCCAGTCCTAGTCCTTCCTCTCATGTTCATACCCCTCTGCTCCCTAGGAAAAAGGGGGCTCAGTCCTAAGGCCAGAGAGGAAAACGCTGAGTCTGAGTGAGCTGTGACGTGACTTCCCAAGGGCTGCCACCCACACATGGGATGCCCTGCTGTGAACCTTGCAGGGCTCAGCCCTCCTCAGAACAAGAGCGACTTCCTTGCAGACGAGGCACCCTCCAGAAATCAGTAAGTGAAGTACAGGAGCAACATCCAGCAGCTCCCTTGGGACATCCAGACCCTAACCTAGCAAGTTCCTCCTCCTGGCAATGTGCAGTTTCCTTTGGAGGTTCAAAGGAAACAGTGGGATAAATCCAGCTTGGGGAGAACACCGTGGATCCCCCAAAGCAGTTCAGAGAAATTAAGAGCAGGATTCCAGCAAACAGCCACAAGAAACAGATTAGTGGTTAGACAGCTGGGCAGCATTTGGGGGGAAGCAGCTCATCTGAACACTGATGACTGGGTGGTGCTCAAGCCTCAACTACCTGAAATGACTTCGCTTCTTCAAACCAGGGAGGCTGACGGCTCCACAGGAGCCGCCCCTGTGGGAGCTGGTCTGCTCTCACTTGTTGAATGAGAGCCCCAGAGACCTGTCGGGAACACACGGAAAACTTCTCATCGAGAAGCAGAGGGTGAGGTTCTCCTGACTCAGCGCTACTGACAAACCTGACCAGCACTCAGAGTTGCTGGAAAATCCCCCACAGGGGCTACTTACAACAACTCCACTTCCTTAGGCGGTATACGTGTGCAGAGGGGCTCACACTATTGTCGAGGGACTTATGGTGACCTGGCCTGCTTTCTGCAGAGGAGAGAAGCCAGCATTAGTACAGGGTTAGAGGACAACAGCATCAGGACACGATCTAGTGGGAAGGGAAGCAGCTGAGAGCTCTCAGAAACATAAGAGGAGACACGCTGACACCTCAGAGCAACAGGCTCCCACTCCTCCATCTCATCGCTCCCAGAAGGCCCAAACCTCCCAGGAAAGGAGCTCAGCAGCATCGGCAGCAGAGCTCCACCCATCCCAGGAGGTTACAAATGTACCCCAGCCCTTGACAGCATTACAGCTCCTGTGTGTGCATCCCCTCCTGGTGTAGCCTCCAGCACTGCAGGTCCTTCCCAGGACACCTCCTCAGGGCCACCCCTGGGGAGGCTCTCTCAAGAGATGGGCTTCCACCCACCCCAGAGGTGGCAAGTCTCTGCGAGAGGAATGGTCACTTCCCCACAGTGACTCCTAGCCCGAAAGCAGCATCTTCAGCCCCGCCATGAGAGGCAGCAGCTTGAACCAGGGAGGCAGTTGCAGGAACAGGCAAAGCGAAGAGAGTATTTTGGCTGCTTGCACTTACTGCAGAAATGTACTGGCTGTTTGTGAACCTGGGTTTCTCCTCCATTGCAGAGCTGTGTTGGGAGCCTAGGGGCATGTAGGGGGGTGAGCCCATCTCTTCACAGAAGCTTTCTTGGGGGATGCTGGAGACACAGCCACTGTCGGAGCCACTGGAGCCGCTGCCTGACATGCAATGCGATGACTCTGAGCTCTCTGTTGCTGAGGGAAGAGAGGAATTTGGTTTACATGACTGAGCCACATACATTTGTTAACTTATCTGTTTGCAGAGGCACTGGCCACACAAGCCCACAGAAAAGCCACCCTCCTGTCTAGGCCTCTTTAAAGCCATAGGCAACAAAATAACCCAAGGAAGTGCAGCAAATGATGCTGGAGATTGATGTAGACTGGCTAGGAAGTTCACGCAGGGGAAGCCAAGGGGTCACTGGACTACGCTGTAAAGAGGGAAGGACAGAGTGCCTCGTACCAGAGGGGCAGAGACACGAGCACTGGTCTCCAAGGCCAACAGCAGCCCCAGTTTGCAGCACCAAGCCTGCCACAGGGATGGCTGCAGATCAGCGGGCACTTCATCAATGCATCTGAGCTAAACTCCCGCCATGAAAGCTGAGACAGAGCCAGCATGGAAGGACAGGGCCCTCCCTGCCCCAGTCTGGGTACAGGACAGGGACTGTGGCGACGCCAGCGAGGCGAGCCTGGCTGCGTAGCGCAGGGTGTGGGGACGAGCCCATACGTACTCAGCGATGGCTGGCTGCTTGTCTCGTGCTCCAGCTCGTCTTCCTCGATGCAGGTGCCGATGTCAAAGGGGCGGCTGGGGGCCAGGACACCTGGCAGTAGAGCCTGGTCCAGGTACATGTGGAGGTTGAGAGGCCCCAGCAGGGAGGAGGAGGAAGGACTGTAGGCTGCGGGGGTGCTGCCAGCAGAGAGCTGCGCCTGTGTCCTCTTGTACGGGTTGGAATGGTCAAACAGAGACACGGCGATCGATGCTCTGGTCCTGGCGCCTGACGGAAAACATACCAAAACCCTCAGCAGCAGTTCTGCCCAGCTCATCACGTGGAGCAAGGGGGCAGGCAGGGCTGGCACTTACCTCTGCCTTTCATGATGTAATCAATGGCACGGTCATTGATAGCTGCCTCGCTGGGCTTGATATCCAGGAAGGGCTTGTTGCCCACGCCCATGGAGACCATCTCCTGCATACGGATTTCTGGAGAGGAAGAGACCCAGAGCCACATTGTGAGGTTGACCCAACCCTCCCCCACAGGCACTATGCAGCCCCAGGCCAGAGCACTGCTGGACTACTGAGATTAGATCTGTTCTCCCATTGCTCTCCAGTCCTGAGGAGTCCCCAGGGATAAGCAGTCATGCCCTGCTCTGGCCATGCCACCTACAAAAGTCCTGCCAAGCGGGAAGCCTGGGGTGGAGAGGAGGGACTCAGCCAGCCACCACTCCAGTAGTGGCCTAGATCACTGAGAGAGGAGTGAACCTTTGAGGAACAGAGCCCACGCTCACAGGGTGTGGAACCCTGTGCTAATATCTCCCATTTCTCTCACGGAGTCCAGGCAAGTGCCTACAGTCACACAGAGCTTGGGCTGGCCAAGTTCCCTGGGGATGAGGGGCAGGGAAGGGACATGTCCAGCCAAGCCCAGCACATGCTCCCAAGGCTGCATGCTGGCACACAGCTGCTCACGGCACAGAGCTGCCTGTAACAGGCTCCAAACCTACTCAGGACAGCATGAGCCGAACAGGACTCCCGCACCTTTTGCGGCACAGACGCCCCAGGAAGGAATCACACCTTTATTGCGGGCTGCCTGCTGCCACAGGATCTTGGCAATGTCACTGGTCCAGGCCTGCTTAGTCTCAGCTGAGCTGGCCTGGAGGATGTAGGTGTCACTGGACTTTCGCCTTCGGAACCAGATCTCAAAGCGCAGGCCACTGTCTCCAGAGTTCTCTGTCAAACCAATGTCTGCAGTCTGCCAGAAAAACGAAGAGCAAAGCATCAACTGGGGCTCCACCAGGAGCAGAAAGGGTAAACTCCCCCTGCACCCTGTGCTAGAGCTAACCCCAGCTCAGCAGTCCCAAGGGGAAGAGGAGCTCCAAAGAAGAGCAAGTACAGTCTGGACCCAGCTGAGCAGAGACAGCCTAGGCAATTCCCAGTGCTTCATCCAGAGTCAGCACCACCTCCCTGCCACACACTCTGCATCCCTCAGCAGACCTTGGCCCCACATCTCACAGCATGGAGGGGGTTCAGGCATTAATGTGCAAAGTATTCCCTTCTGGCTTCACTGCTTGCCTTGGAAATGGCTTATTGGTGGTGGGAGCAGTTCTGCTGAAAGTGCTTCAGCTCTCACTCCCCATTTCAGAGCTGCCCTTACCTTGAAGGAACGCTTGTAGATATACACATCAAAGCCACCCTCGATCCTCTTGGGCTTGCTGAAAAGGATCAGGTCCTCAAAGAGGAAAACGTGCCGCTGGCACTTCCTACGACCCAGCCAGATGGTGAACTCGTCCTGTCGCACCAGTTGCCCCTGCTCCTTCAGGTTCACCTGGACAAAGGGAACATCCTGTTAAGACCCCAGCAGGATCAGGTCCAGGCAGCCTCAGTCCCATATGGCTGTGGCCCACGTGGTGAAGGAGTGGCAGCCACCCGTCATCTTCAGAGGGCTCTTGAAGAGTTGCTGTGTGGCACTGCCAGGGGCCGCATGAGGCTGAAACAACTGGCCCAAAGCTCGGGGGAGAGCTGCACCTCTCTCCTAGGCATAGCCCACAGATGTGTCTGCTGTCACCCTGTGCAGATCTGTGACAAACCTCTGGGCTGGCAACTGGAAGCAGCAGCAAGAGCATTATCTTAGGGGGAAGAGGAGAGCTGAAGAGGAAAGGAGCCCCATCAAACTGCCAGAAGCACATCTGGGTCAGAAGGTCAATCCCTCAGTTCTTCCTGCCCCAAATCCATCTTCCTCCCCCCTGAGCCCTGTGGTTTCTCCTCCCCCAGCACTGCACTTCACATGCCTCTCCTTCAAATCCTACCTAGATGATTTTGGCCTACCCCTGGCATCAGCATCAGTTTGAATTCCTCTTGCAAACTCTGCCTGATCCTCTTCTCACCAGCTCAAAAGAGATGGAAGGGCTGAAGGAAGCCTGCACGACACCATCTGCAAGGACTCTCAGGCTGTCTCACATCACCAGTAAGCACCTGGGAGTGTGTTTATGACAAGCAGCTGGCCCAGCACGAGTAACAGCATCTAGACTGTCTGTCCTAGAGGATCAAGAGACCCTGCTCTGTGCTGGCAGATGGCACCCTGATCACTGTGGGAATTTGTGGGGAGGTTCACCATACAATCCAAAGACCCCAAGTTTAGAGAAGGGGAAGAAGTGTGGCTCTGCTCCCCCAGACAGGGGAGGACACCAGAACATACGTCACAGTCACGGATGGCATCCATGGCCAGCAGGTCATTTCCATGGCGGAGCTGAAACTTCACCATCTCCTCAGCCGCACGGAGGTAGCCCAGCTCCTGCTCTTGTGCCTCGCTGCACTCCTTTATCAGGTCCTTCAGAAGCAAGGCATATTTGCTCATTCGCTGGATGGGTTTCAGCAGGTAGGAGGCCAGGTCCATCTTGTCCCCAAGCTGCACCTGCTTGAACTGAGAAACACAGCATAGAGTGAGGGCAGTAGCTTCCCGTGGAGTGCCCTGTGCCCCCAAGTAGGCACTGACACCCACAGCTTTCCTGACTGGGCACTCTGCTCTGCAAGGAAATTCAAGGCCATAGGACCAATGCTGCTGCATGCTAGGCTCCTTCCCAAAGCACTCACTCTGCCCCACACACACTTGTGCAGCACGCCATGTCAGGAAAGCAGAGGTAGTGCTGAGTGTGCCTTAATCAGAAAAGCTGGTCTTGTTTAAACAGAGCAGTGACCCAAACACCAACAGTAATCATGATGCAAGTAGTGGGATTTACCTTGAAGAAGGTATTCCCATGGCTGGCCAGCAGCGAGTCTGACTTCGGCTTGTTCTTGCTGTACAACGCGTACATCCCAAACTGGTCTTTCTGCAAAAGAGCCCCCATGTGAGACCAACACACACCCAGGATGCACCAGAGCCTCCTACCATATCAGGAATGACTCTGCTTCAAGTTCACTAAGACCCAGAGAATGTTCTTGTCTTTTCTACTCCCAAAGTAGCTATGATTTTTTAAACCATTGTCCTGTTGCCCCTAACATACCCCAGCAGATACCAGTCACCCAGTAGCAGCAAACATGCATGGGGCAGCTGAGCTTAAGACCAGTGTGCCTCCTGCTTCTCCCTAGCAGCCCTTTCCAACAAGAGCAGCAGGTCTGTACCTTCCAGCTCACTGAATTCATTCCACACTGACACCAGGTGGGAGACAGGGTAAGAGATGCTCCTGCGAAAGCAGGTGGGTTTTAAGCAGATATTTTGCTTCCCCAGCAGTGTCTTTTGGTAGCAAAGAGCTACAGGAAAGGCAAAGAGCATCCACTCCTGTTTGGGCTCAGCCTTGCAGAGCCATCCCAGTCCAACCTAGCATCTGAGCTGGCAGGGGACAAGCCAACTCAGCACAGGGCAGTCCTCCCACTCCCAAAGAGCCACATGGGAGCGTAGCCAAACATAAAGGCACAAGAGCCAAGCACACGTCCAGAGGAGCCTGGCCCCAGAGGGAAGGTGTTGATGCCTTACGTGTCGGAGGAAGCAGTGGCTGACCCGCAGCGGGTGGTTGCAGCAGCTCTCGAGCTCTCGCAGGAAGTACTGGCTGTGGAAGTCGTAGAGTTTTTCCAGGTTCCCAAAAATGACGCTGCGCTTCCCACGCAGGTCCTGGGGAAGGTCAAGGCGCTCCATCTCAGGGAAGTAGCTATCGATGATGTAGCAAAGCGACCTCACGTATTCCCGCTCTGTAGTTACCATCTCATCAATGATGTGCCGCAGCTTGCTGCAATAGGAAACACTCAGCCTTGAAGGGACCCAGACTGCAGCAGGGTGCAGCAGGCAGAGTGCCTGCAAAGCCCAGCCCTACCCCTAGGTAAGCTCTCCCTGAGACCCAGCACAGATGTGATGATCCCTTAGCACCATCCAAACTCAGATTCACAACTGTTCATGACAGCTCTGAGCGTGAGCACTAACAAAGCTCATGCCTGATCCAAGGAACTCTCAGCTTTTCTGTTCAGGAAGGATGAGCTCCAAGATGACTGTGGTCCTGACCCAACCTCAGCAGGACTTATGCCCCTGGGCCCACTCAGCCTCTGCTCTGGACTCAACAGGCTGCTCTGCAAATGGTTGCACTCCTGAAACAACAGGGATGGCAAGAAGTCACGATAACTTCTGTGAGGAGGAGTCAGCCTGATGCCTGGATGCTGTAGGAGGCATTGTTAATCCTTGGAGAACACAAGCTCTGGGCCCAGCAGAAATGAGATGGGGAACAAACCTTGTATCACTTCATCAGCAAAAGGCAGTTCCTAGCATGGGTTGCTCCGATCTGAAAGAATCGCTCTTAGGTACTCGAGGTTTCCACTGCGAGGCAGTGCAGCACCAAACATTAACTACTCTGACCGTGTCTCTGCATTCCCTGCCTCTCAGCTTACCCCCAGGCCAACTCCTGGCTGTTCAGAGGACTGAACATCAGGACCGGCTCAGCGTGCATGGACAGGAGCGCTGCTGCATTGCTCCCCTGAGAAGCAAAGCAATTCACTTCCTATCTGCTGGTGTTCATCCCCTGCCATGAGCCTTCCTCAAACAAGGTAGGATACCAGAGGCCTTTTCCAGAAGATTTCACGGTCCCCAGTCATCCCATCCAGAGCAGAAGCAGTGGAAGAGCTCTGTGGTCCCTCTGCATCCAGCACTCCTTTCTCATCTCTACCACCAACCTTTTTTTTTAAAAATCTTTTCCAGTGAGAGCAGCAGAAAGACCTGCCTGGTGAGTCCCTTTCAAGAACAGCTCCCACCCCTGGGGTTTCCATAGCCTAGGCATGTTGCAGTATGACAACAAAGTTAAGTTGAGATCATCAAGAACAGAGGAGGGAAAGAAGAGAACAAAAGCCAACTGTTGGTACGCAGAGATCTCAGCCCCAAAGGGCAAATACAAACACCTTCTTACAAAATTTACAAAAAAACCTTCTGTGAGGCTGCTGTCACAGAGTACTGGAAGCGCCTCCCCACCAGCCTGGGTACAGCACCCCCCAGAAGCATGCAGGATGGTGCACTATGCTTCTGCTCTCCCACTGCACCTGTACCACTGGTTTGCTAGGTCCCCAAATACTGTGTTTCTGCAAACTCTTGTCCTCCAATGCCAGCAATGTTCAGAGATTCCATCTCCTGCCCTTCCCCTCTTACAGGGGCATCATATTGTGGAAGAAGGGCAACAGATCCCCTTTCCTGCCTCCCCCAGAGACAGGTGCCAGTCTGTGTGGGGACATCCCTGTGGGCCCACACACGGGTGTGTAGGGAAGCCGGAGCTCCATCTCCATCTATCTGCCCTGTACCTATTGCCAAAGTAACTGTCACTGCAGAGCTCTTCACACCTTTTCTGGCTGCCTTTTCACAACCCTGAGGACTGGAGCATTGAGTATCACAGCCACTTACCTGCCCCAGCTCTTGGCTTCCGAGGCAGAGAGGCAGCCCCTCTGTCCCTCCAGCAGGCAGTCCGCAGCCCAACTGTGAGCTGCTTGCTGCCGCAGGGCGAAAGTCCTGTCCACCAGCTCAGTGCTGCTCACCTCCAGTCCCTTAATAAAGACGCCGGTGTTGCCGTATCTGGCCGGCTCGCTCAGTGTCCTCTGGCAGCCTGACCACAGGCTCTCGCCACACGGGAGGTCAAAGCTCTGGGCTTTCCGGAGCATCCTCCTGGGAGGCAGCTTCCCAGAGGCTGAAGTGGACGTGCACGATGGCTTCACCTCCAAGGTTTCTAATATGCTCTCCAGGTTTGGCTTTTCTTCAGGCAGTTTAGGAGACTTGGAGGCACCGCTGGCAAAAGAAACTCTGCCTGAGTGAGGACCAGGGCTCAGAGCAGCTTGGCAGGCAAATTCTTCCCCAGCACTGACATCGCCAGGGCAGCTCAGGGAGGGCGAGGGAGCTTTCTCCTTAGTCCACCCCGGAGAGCAGTTGGGCCTGTTGTAGCCATGGGATGTGCTGTAAGTCCTGTCCCAGTGGGACCCGGAGGTGGCCCCCTCGGAGTGCCTCCGGTGGGACAGACTGCCAGCCTCACTGACGGCCCGGGGCTGCTCCCCGGCAGCTGCTTTGTGGTCCGACAGCAGAGACCTCCTTGTTCTCAAAGCTGCTTCGAGTTTCTTTTCAAAAACCAGCTTGGTCTCCTGGCATTTGGACCATGCGAATTTCCACTGCTTGAGCCCCTTGTCGCTCTTCAGCTCACAGGCCAAATCCTTCATCTCCTGGAACCGGGCATCGCTGATGTCGGGGTGCTGCCCCTTGTAACTCTCCAGGCACTTGATCACACCTGCACAGTGTTCAGCAGAGCTGCAGTCCTCCATGCTGATGCAGGCAAGGTGTCGCATCCCTTCCAAGGCCCACTCGTACACCTGCAGAGCATGAGAACAAAAGGCAACAGCCAGTCAAAGGGATTCAGGGAAGAATAACCCTAATTTGGTGCCTGAAGACAAGAGAAAGGATCAGTGTGTGGCCACCACAGTCCCTCAAGGGAGAGAGGAGAGGGGGGGCTGCTATTTGTCAATGGGACTTAACAATTCAGCAAAACAAACAGCTCCTTATGCACAGGGCTTCAGCTGTGCTGGCCGCTCTGCCACAGCTCCACCTCCCCGCCAGGTCCCTGCCACACTGGGCACATTTGTCCTCTCTGGGCAGGGGGGCCCAGGGGAAGCTGCTGCCAAACCTGCAGGAATTCACACCTCAGCATGACCCTGCTCTATATGTAGCCTGGAACTCGCCCTCCTCCTTTTCTCAACCATTCTCACCACTACCATGCAGGATGAGGTCAAGGAGGCATCACCAAGCTGCAGGGAATGGGACTGCTGCTCCCCATGCCATTTCCCCAGAGATGACAGCACAAAGTGGCCTGGAGCTCAATCGGAGCTGGGCTCTGTGATCACCCCCAAGTGCTCTGACATATCCTTGCAGCAAGTAGGAATCTGAGCCCATGCAAGTCCAGCTACAGCTTGTGCATCTTCCGTGACCGCTGGCACCTGCGCAGTGTGCTGTGCACTGCCTGGCCCTACTTGCTAGGGCACTACATGCTTGTGCTGGTTAGTAGAATACTGAGCTCAGCAGTTTATTTCTAATACTCCAGGAATGCTGGAAGCAGTTTCATGGGGCTTAACTCTAGCAGTGGTGCATACGCTGGCCTTGCTAAAACAGCTCTGGCGTATCAGTCAAGAAGAGGAGTGGGACAAAATATGGTCCAGTGTGACGGATGCAAGGTAAGAGTGCCTTACCACCAGGGCAGGAAAGGGGCTAATGAAGCACTGTGCACTAAGACCTGCCATTGATAAGAATGAGAGGAAAGGCAAACACCTGAATTACTCAGGCTCATAAGCCACTACTTTCTCTATAAAGCAGGAAGATGTGACCAGCTGCTATAGGCCTGGCCAGGGAACATTACTGCTCATCAGTGAAAATAGACTTATTTGTTAAAATCAGATGCACAAAGCAGGGAAAACATCCAGGACAGGCCTGCCTGGCACCTTCTACCAACTGCCCAAGACCCATGGATGTGTGGAAACATCACAAGCTGCCCTTGAAGTGAGCCAGACCATCTCTAACACTTGATCTGTCAGGCTCTGCGTACCTGCTGTGTTTCTGCAGAGATGCAACACACATGCTTAGTGTCAGAGACAAAGTGACGAGCCTTAGATCATTTCCCACCTGCTGAACAGCCTTTACTTCAACAGACTTCACTCAGAGAGCTTAAAGTACTTATTTTTATGCAGAATAGAGCCTTAAGACACCAAGAAAATCCCCCCAACCTTTATGCAGACATGGAGCAGACACTGCATCCCCATGAGAGACGTGGTGGTCAAACAAATCAGGTGCCAGCTCACTCTGCTGGTGACAAAGGTTGGCCAGGGCAGGAGGGGCTTTGCTGCCATGCTGCCCAGCTCCTGGATGGGGACAGCTCCGACAGCCAAGTGCTGCTGTTTGTACAAAGAGCCGAATGCCAGCACACGAGTGATAGCCTGCAGACTGAGCAGTCTCTCCAGGGACAGATTCCACAGGAGCTCCCACAGCCATCCACATTGCTGTTTTGAGCTGCAGCTGCATGGCATGCGTGCAGCCAGTGCCATCACTCATGCAGAGCAAGGAGGCACTTCAGAATACCAGCAGCTGCCCGGGGAAAAGGGTTCTCAAACAGCCCCATGCAACCACAGCAAAGGACAATCGCAAGAGCAGCAGTCCCCTCTCCTCCCATCACCCTGCCTAGCACAGCAACAGGCCCCTGACCTGCCTCTCTCTTGATCCAGACTTTATGCTCTAGACTTGCCCACTGCTGGGGGCCAGGAGGGGCATGCAGAGGCAGAGGACATGCCAGACACTGGTGAGAATCTGCATTTATCAGTGATGTGGATGGTCTTTTATTCCCTGGAGGCAGAAGCACATCAAGGCGAGGTGGAACGCTGAGTGCAGTGGAGCCCAGCAGATCCACACGGCAGTGACAGATGGCCTATTTTACTGTGTTTTTTTGAGCTGCTCCCTCCAGCTGTACGCAAACCAACACCAGCCCCTTCCAGCTCTGCCCTGAGCAAGGGCTGGTTGTCAGCGTGGGTGAAGGGCATGTCTCACCTCTCTTGTTGCAAAGGTCAATGGGGGATCCTGACCGAAGGCTGCATGCTCGCTCCCTTTCCATTAACTGCTAGGAAAAACTGAGCTCTGAAAGAGGGTTCTGAGAGCAATGAGGAGGAGAGGCACAGCCAGCAGGCCACTCTGGCCTTTACAGCAGCCAGGCGAGAAGGCGGCCACCCTGTGAAGGTCTTCTCTGAGGCTGGGGACCTCACTTCCTTGTACAGATGGGAGATAGAGAGAAAAGAGGCTTCTTTTATTTCTAGGAAACACTGCGGATCTGCATGAAGCCGCAGCAAGGAGGAATCAGTGCTGTAAACCACACAGGGAGGCAGCCCGCCACCTCTCATCTTCATATGGTATCTGTCTCTGTTCTTGGTGAGGGCTGTGCAGAAATTACTCTAAATCTCAATGGCATCTCTTCCATCCCCAGTGCCTGTCGCAGGCCAGTGAATAGCTTAGCTTTGTTCCCTACACAATGGGAGCAGCCCTCCACACCCTGCAGCTTGCTTGGTAACAAGCTAAGTGGCCACCAAGGCTTTCTCCAGTCACATCATCCGCTTCAACTGCCCCTTTTAGCACATGAAATGGCAGCCCTCTGCAGGGACCAAGTGTGCCCTGGCACCCAGGAGGGAACACCCTCATGCAGGCAGGGATAATGTCATCATCTGCATCCTGGTAAGGTTACAAACCACACTCAGCCAAGCCAGGATACTGCTCTCCAGCTGTGGGTCTTTTGGGGAGCCTTAAAGCTTCTCAGCAAAGCTGCAAGAGTTGCTCATATATAAGAGGTGGCACCTGTGCACAGGGAAGCTGAATCTTCCCAACCACGTCTGCAACCAGGCAGGAAGGAGCCTGTACCTGAGCTTTTGATCTTTACAGTCAAGTCGTTACTGAAACTCAATTACAGGATTAAAGATGTATGCTTCCTGCACACACAGGGCTGACCTATCCAGCAGCTCCACAAGGAGTCAGCAACAGGTTGGTCCTGCCAGCCTGCCCAGGGGGCTCTTGGGGACCTGCTGTGCCCTAAGGAAGAGCTAGGGACTTCACTAGAGCACGGCGCAACCCTCAAGCCTGTGTTGGTCCCTGCTCATTTCATCATGGGCAAGGCTTGCAGTTCATCGAGGACAGAAGCTCCTGGAGTATCTTGGTTTTGGCACCACTGAAGTGCCATCTGCAAATACAGGCCAAGAGAAACTTCTTGGCCCTGGCTCAGGGCACATTGCCAGCACTGCACAGAAAACTTTCCAGTCGTCCCCAATTCTCACCTGAGCCACCACTCAGATACTACACCTCCACAGCCCAAACCTATCACAAACCCACCAGATTCCTCTCACACTCAAGGTCCAGTGATCTTTAAGACACTTTCTGGGTAGGCAAGACAGGAGACAGACACTGTTCATCTGCAGACATATGACAAGAAGGGCAATTTCAAGGGGGCCTGGCTTTGTCCAAACATTCTCTTTTGTCTCTTCTTGCAGGGAGATGATGAATATAACTGCATTTTTCTTGTCACAGGGAACTGGGTGTCTGAATAGGCAGAGGCAGGTGGAGTAGGCAGATTACAAACCCTCCAACTTTCTGCAGAAGAAAAATGCACCTAGGTGGGTGACTAACTCTGCTGTGAAGTTTCCTTCTGAACTCAAAGTGCCTGAGCAGGGGAGCTGAGTTGGGGGTGATGAAAAGCCAAGACTGATGCTAGTGGGAGCAACAATACAGGCAGGGATGCAGTACAGCTGTGGGTATGATGACTGAAGCAGGACAACAAGATAGATCAAGTCCCCCATCCTTATGTGGAGATGTCCCAGGATTGCAAGTACCTCACTCTCTTGTTTTCTACAGCAGAGAGGAATAAGCACACAACAGCTGGGAACATTGCCAACGAAAAAGAAACTGACATAATCCAACAAGCCCTGATTGAGCTTTTGTGCTGCTCCTGTATGCAAGCTGTGCTCTGCTGTTTGTTAATGAGACACAACTAACTGCAGGTCTTTTGTGGCAAGAAACAACTGCACAAATTCCCCACTTAACAAGACCTCCTCTCCTCACTGTGTTCGCTCTAAGTGCCCTTAACTTCAGCCATGAGTTTGGAGAGAAAGATAAGGTTGGCTTGCAGCAAAGCAGACAGAACTGATACAGCCAGAAAAGGACAAAGCATCACAGGTATCACTGAATTGAGCCAAGCATTTCCCAACAGCTGTAAATGGTGACACGTAGGCACTGACTCCTGCAGCTGCCCTGCTCTGCCAGCAGCCCAAGGTCTTTGCACTGAACCCTGCAGAGTTGAGACACCAGTCACAGCACAAGAGTTAAGAGTGACAGTGCAGTTAACACAAGTCCAAAGTAAATGCTGCTTTCCTGTATGAAAGTGCCTGCTCCGAGGTGTTCTCCTCATTACAGATGCTCATTTGGGCTTATTCCCTTTGAAGTCCAACATGGCTTTAGGCCGCTTTGAGAACTGACTCCTGCGCACAGCACTGATGTGTCCCTTGTCACAGGCTGCTGCACACACAGCATTAGCAGGCCAGGGACTGCCTTGTATGCTGACAGTTCAGAAAGACCACAGTTAAAAAGTCATTTTACATCAAAATTTCATTGAAAGCAAAATTATACAGGCTAAAACCTTACTGTCATACAAGAGCTGTCAGCTGGCAAACTACGACAAGCCTGTTTCTCTGCTTACTCAGAGGCCAAGTAGCAGAAAGTGCTCACCTATAGCAGAAAGCTCACCACTCGCTTGGATCCGTTTTGTGCTTTCCTCAGACTCCCACCCACCAATACTAAT